GGGCATACGTCTGAAGGCAAATGTGCCGAACGGGCACGTAAAGGTTGTCTTGGGCTGGTCCTCGGGAGCTATGGCCACTTGGTAGTAGCCCGAGAGTCCGTCGAGAAAGCATTAGAACTGGTGGCCCGAGAGTCGGTCGAGAATCTGATCAATGAATGGCAATGGAAAGTGGTCTTTCTTCGTCACGGCGTTGAGTCGCCGGTAATCAATACACATTCACCACCCGGTAGTGATTCGGGTGGGGACCATCTCCTTCTTCTCGTTTTCGATCACTGTGATGCCCCCCTTCTTCGGCACCACATGGATGGGGCTAACCCATTCACTGTCGGCCACTGGATAGATGAGCCCTTCTGAGTAGAGCTTCAACACCTCCTTTTTCACGACCTCCATCATGTTCGGGTTGAGCCGTCGCTGGCTATCCCGAAATGGCCTGGCACCCTCCTCCAACACGATCCGGTGCATACAAGTGGAAGGGCTGATCCCCTTTATGTCGTCTAGGCTCCAACCGATGGCCTTTTGATTCTTCTTAAGCACTTCGATCAGCTCTTTCTCTTCTTCTTGATTAAGCTCGGCAAATATAATAATCGGCTTTTGTTTCTCATCATCGAGGAAAACGTACTTGAGGTGGCGAGGCAACTCTTTTAGCTCCAGTGTTGGTGGGGTCTTCGGTCTTGGTTCCTCGACCTCCATTAGCTCAACAAACGGTCCTTCTTCCTCTTCGAGATCGGGCAATGACCTCTCTTCCAAGTCTCGTATGACCATCTCCTCGACAAAAGGATCAATCATATCAACGAACGAACACTCCTCCACAAGGTTCGCCGAAGGGCTAGATGTGGCCTCTCAGACAGAGATAGACACGGACTCCCCTAGGACCGTCATGTTCAAGGTCCGGTTCTTGACATCAATGAGGGTGTTTGTGGTGGCCATAAATGGCCTGCCGAGAAGGATAGTGTGGTTCTTCCCGTTCTCGTGAACGTCCCCCACATCTAGAACCACGAAGTCCACCGGGACTATGAGCTTCCCGACACGAACTAGGATATCTTCCACCACTCCTTTGGGGTATCGAATGGAACGGTCAGCAAGTTGTAGGCACATACGGGTTGGTCTCAAATCTCCTAGACCGAGCCGCTGGAAGATGGAAAACGGCATAAGA